TTTGTCTGCCCGAGACGTCCCCAAATGCCCAGTTGCAGGAGAAAGAGTAGAAACCACAGCCCAAAGAGGGGCCTCAGCCACGGCAGCCGAGAACTGGCCACCAAACTATTTACACTCCGTCCAGGCACCCTGGTGCGCAGCCCGGGCACACAGGCAGCCTGGGCATGCCTGGCTCAGAGTAGCAGGCAGCAACGGTGCCAGAGGGAAAAGAAGAGCGTTCGCCCTTTGGAAAGAAGAGATGAGCGGCTCCAGAGCCTGAGACCCACACAGACAAGACAGACAGACAGCGTCAGCCCCGCCGGCCATCATGGGGAAAGAGGACAGGTGGAGGAGAGCACCGGCTGGGGTCGATGTCTTTTATAAATAAGCTAAAGCTAATCAGAGTTTATTCACAGGGCCAGGGCTCCAAGACATTGCCGGACTCAAAGCCTCAGGCCTGAAGCACGTCCCCAAGCCTGCCACAGAGGAGGCTGCACAGGCCGATCCCCTCCGGATTCAGCAGGCAGGCACGCTGCTTTGAAACGGGCTCCTGGCAAGGGCCGAGCTCCACCAGCTGAAACGGAGCCTCCACCAAGTGATGACCTCCAACGTCGTGCAAGAGGGAGACCCAAGAGCGCAGCCGCTTCCTCCCAACGCTGCCTGCACGCCGAACTGTGGCCAAAACCTGCCCGTAAGACCAGCTGCACCCAGCAAGGGGCTCTGCTCGTGGCAGGTCCCCAGAGCAGCGCTCCCTGTGCGGCTCACAGGGTGCTCTCCAGTGTGTTGTAGTTGTCCTTGAAGCTCTTCAGCTCCAGGAAGTGTTTGGCACGTTTGCTCTTCTGGCTGGAAGGCAGGTAGGTGACCTGGATGGTGGCGGGGTTGGAGACTTCAGGGGAGAGGGTGAGGTCCTTTGCTGCTGACTGGTGCTGCCGCTGGCTGCTGCCTCCCCGGGCCTTGGTCCTGCAGGGAGAGGAGAGGCACCATCACAGCTGCCGCCCGCCCCAGAGGAGCCACCCGACCATCACGCCCTTCTGTCCGACACAAGGCAGATCTGCCCTCAGGACGACAGCGCTCACCGCCGTTTTGAAAACCAAGGCTGGCGCTTCTGCAGGTGCCAGGCCTGGAGCTCGTGCGAGGTCCCTGGCTCAAAGCGGCCAGCACAAGCAGGAACATGGACCGTGACCAAGTAACAAACCCGAAAAGAGACGGGCTGTAAGGAGTAAGTAAACCTGGAAGGACGGACAGGCGTAAACAGCCCATGTCTCAGAGGCTGAGTTTTGCCCCAAAACCCATCTCTGTTCACACCTCCACAATGGGCTGCTGGGACCCAAGAAGCCACCACTGCACCCCACCTACACGCCCAGGCAGTAACACTTACATGTTTGCCAGCTCATTCAGAGCATCCTGGTACTGCAGATATTCTGGTTTCCCAAAGACCTGGACGCAAACAGAAAAGACCGTGGAAAACCCGGTGAGGTCACAGCGCGACCTCAGTCCAGCTGTCAGACTGGAGCGCAGGAACATCCCCCTGCGCTGCTGCAGGGGCCTGGCGACGCAGTGCTGGCGCTTACCCCAGTGCCGTAGCGGGCGCTCTCATACCCATCCAGCAAGGTGTCGATCAAGGCTTTGCGGATGCCTTTGAAGGAGGTGCTGGAATTCCGCAGTTCCAGCAGATAGGCACAGAAGTTCTTCCCTACTAAAGACTTTGGGTACCGGCCCTCTGTGTGAAACGGGATTTCTGGAAAATGAAAAGGCACAAGACAACTGGCTGAAGCGCAGGTCAAAATGCTTGTGCTCACCTGCAGCCCACATCAGAAGTTGGCAGCTAGTTAAACTTCCCACCTGATCTGTTGCCTCCTTTTGCTGACTGAGCAGAGTGGCCCCTCAGGCCGCCAGCCCTGGGCAGGATAAGTGACTGCTATTCCCAAAAGAGGACCTTGAGCCTCATCACGAGGCTGCTGGCTGACGCACCGCACCCTTATTTCCTCCACACACGGTCTCTCTCCACCCTTGCCCTCCCACTCCCGCCCTGAGCTCCCTTACCAGATGTTCTGATCGCATCCAGCGCCTTCATCCGGTACAGGTAGTTATAGCAGCCTGGCAAAGAGAAAACCCAAACTGAAATCTCTGCAAAACTTGGCAGCAGGAGGGAGGTGGCAAAAGGGGACAGGAGCAGAGTGCAGAGACACCATCTCGTGTTGGCTCGCCAAACGCAATGTTGCAATGGGACAGCCAACAAGAGAGGCCAGTGACACAAGTCAGCCCCAGGGAACGACCTGCTGTAGCGGGACAAGCACTGGACGGTGTCTCTGGTGGCCTCTGACTGACACGCAGTGAGAGAGGGTACCTTGTGTCTCCAGCTGCAGAAGCCTGCTGTCGTCCTCAGCTAACAGCCAGGGCTCGTACTTGATGTCTTGCACCCTTGACAGTCGAATGTCGATTTCTTCCTTTAAATCCTGCACAGCACGAAAAAAAACCAAAACAACATTTACAGAGAACTCGCTTTGTTTGTGGGATCACAAGGATGATAACAGTCATGTCCTGGGGGGGCCTCTGAAATAAACCTGCTCCCTCTCTAGCTGCCCATCACCACACCGAGGTGGCAGCTCCTGGAATCGTCCCATTTTGAAGCAGACCCTGCCTGCCCCTCCGGGCACGGACGGGTCTGTGGGTGCAGGGGAGGGAGGGCACGTCCCCACCGCGGGCCCCTGCGCACCCACCTTGGGCGCGTGTTGTCCGACAGGCACGTGGGGGCCACGGCGGGACTTCATGGCGAAGCGCTTGTCGGACAGGCACGTGGGGGCCACGGCGGGACTTCATGGCGAAGCGCATGATCTGGCGTTTCACAAAGATGAACAGCAGCACGAAGACCTGGAGCGCCACAGCAGGGACGGGGGTTAGGCACACCGAGCGGCACTCCAGGGGGGTCTCACGGCCAGCCTGGGCCCAGCCCCACTGACACCCTGTTCCCAACCCCATGGACACCCCAGGCCGAGCAACCACGGGGCCCCACGGACCCCCCAAACCCGTCAAGCGCAAGGGTTCCTGTTCAGCCCATCAGAAGCCCCATGGACACCCAGGCCAGCCCCACAAACACCCCAGCCTCCAGAGAGGCTCCTACTCCCGTCCTCTCCCTGCCCCACAGACGCCAGGACTCCATGGGCACTCCGGCCCAGCCCTGTGAGGGCCCCAAGTCTGGTTCTACGGGAGTTCCCCACGGATACCCTGGGACGTGTCTCACTGGAGCTTTATGGACACCTCGGGCCTGGTTTCATGGAGGCCCCACGGACACCCCAGGCCCGGTCCCACGGACACCCCAGGCCCGGTCCCACGGACAACCCAGGCCCGGCCCCACGGACATCCCGGCTCC